TGACCTGCTGGGCTCCGGCGATCCTTCTGCCTCAGCCTTAAGTAGCTGGAACTATAGGCGCGCGCTACCACGCCCGGCTAAATTTTTTTTTTTTAATTTATTGTGGAGATGAGGTCTCGCCAAGTTGCCCAGGCGGGTCTCGAACTCACGGGCTCAGGCAATCCACTCACCTCAGCCTCCCAAAAGGCACGGGATTACAGGCTGAGCCACCGAGCCTGGCTGGCATATGTATTTTGATGTCTAAATTTTACTTTATTTCATCTCAGAGACAAGGTCTCACTCTGTCATCCAGGTTGGAGTGCAGCTCACTGCAGATTCAAACTCCTGGGCTCAAGTGATCCTCTTGCCTCTGCCTCAGGCATTTCAATGTGCTGGTATTACAGGTGTGAGCCACCACACTTGGCCTGTTTTCCAAATGTTAGGTTATACTTTAAAGCTACTTGCATCCTGCTACTTACCAAGGATTAATCCCATGACAAATGTTTTAAAGTGAACTGGGTCATAGATCCACACATATACCTAGAAGAATCAAGAAACTTCAGTGCTTAAAAGTTCCATGATCACATCAGAAAGTAAAGCTTAACGTTATATTTTAGAGCCCCCAAAGCAGTCATCAACCTCTTGACATATGAGAAATTCTTTCTTTCTTTTCTTTTTTTGGAGACACAGTCTGGCTCTGTTGCCCAGCCGGGAGTGTAGCAGTGTGATCACTGTAACCTCGACCTCCCGGACTCAAGCAATCCTCCTGCCTCTGCCTCTGCCTCTCAAGGTGACTACAGGTGTGTGCCACCGCACCCTGCTAACTTTTTGTTTTTTGTAGAGACGAGGACTTGCTATGTTGCCCAGGCTGGTCTCAAACTCCTGGGCTCAAGCGATCCTCCTGCTTGAGACTGTAGGTGTGAGTAATTGTGCCGGCCAGAAATACTTCCTAAGGTAAACAAATTCCAAAGACCTTTCCTTCAGTAATAATACCTCTTTTGGCATTCACTAAGTTAGAAAACGATTAAAGGAAAACGATAACTTCTGCAATGCACTCAAGTAAATATTTATGTACTTAATAATGCATTTAGCAATTTGTTCATGGGTGCTAATCATCACTTAATCAACCCAAATGCCAGCAACCGCCAGCCCTCTTGTCCCTAATGTAATGATGAACCTTTTTGGGCTAAGAGCAGTGAAGGCAGATGCCAGCTAGGCCCTACTACAGATCCAGCAGCTCTCAAGCCCACCCTTTTCTCTCCCACTGATAAGACACAAAGAACCACCGCTAAGCCGTGCGTGGCCAACACAGAGCTTCTGTGACTCCCTGTGGCAACTCCACTGCCACCCTCCACAGAGGGTCTGCACCCACAGCTGGGACCACTGCTTCCGAACTTCACTTACTTTCATCAGGTTACTACTTTATACAACAGGGATTTACTTCACCATTCAGATCAGAACTCTGCTTGGTCAGCATCCATGAGGCTCTCAGTTCCTATGAAGAACAGGGCTCCTCCACAGTTCTCTATCGACCAGAACTCTTGACTGTCTTTTCGACTTGGTTATTTGATTTCTAACAGCTGGGGTTCCACTTCAACCCCTTATTTACTCTGCACATTTTCCCTGGGAACCAGATCCATGGACATTACTTCTGCCAGTTTCCATTCTAAAAAACACATTTAAAAAAAGACACTTCCCAACTTTAAAAGTTTTGAAGCGCATGCTACTTTCTTCAGAACAAAACCTAACCTCTTTAGGATGGCAAGCACCCATGCTTTTGCTCAGGCTGCTTTCTTCCCTAATGGACCTGTGACTCCTTCCTGGAATAACTCTGCCAGTCATTCTTCAAGATTCAGCCCAAGTGTCCAGGGTCTCCAGACACTCCTTATCCTTCCTGATCAAATGAATTATTCCTAATGGTGTTCTCACACTATAACACTTGCTGCACTGTACCACAGTGACATGTTTAAATGCTTGTATCTTTGCTAGTGAAGAATTTTATCATATCTACCACGCAATTCCCAGTACCTATAAAAATGCCTGGCATAGAGCAGATGCTCGTGTTTGATGGAGGGTATTTCAGTTCTCATGTTCGGAAAGACTCATGGTCATCTATTAGAGTAGTTCTTAACCTGGAGCACACACAGAATCATCTGAGGACACTTTATTACAGATACGCTCCCCACCCCCTACTCTAGGTATTCTCAGGTGGGTACGTCTGGAATGAGCTCAGAGCACATATTTTTGGAAAGCTGTCCCAGAATTTCAAACCTGTAGCCCCACATATGTTACTTCTGTATGATGTAGTGAGAAGGAATAGGCTTTGGAATTCACAGCAGTTCAGTGGCCAGTTTATGCACTGGTTTATACATTGTTAAGTGACTAAGTTAGGCAGTCTTCATCAAGAGCTACTAACATACTAACATATAAATCTCCCATTACAAAAAAGGCAGTGAAAACGATCTCCTGGAGCAAAGCAACAAGTAATGATGAAAATTTTAGGCCCCTCAAGTGAGAGGCCAGTATGTGTACTCTATTAACTGTTCCACTCATTTTTTTTCTTTGACTATAATGAAAACCCTACGTTCAGCTGGGCAAATAACCACCCTGTATAAAATGTGTAATTCCAGGTAAGCATGAATGTGCCTAGGTTCTGGCCAATGGAATCAAGCAGAAAAGAAACTACAAGATTTGCGGATGGTGCCCTCAAACTGGTTTCAAAGAGGAGGCATATTCCTCCCTCTCCTCTTTTGGGGGAAGATATAAAATTTTTGGGACCCACAGCGACCCTAACTCAAGCCTTACACAGAGGAGAAAGGACAGGAGCATTGTGGGTCCACTACGTGGCTGCCCGCCTCTAGATTCTGTTGGCGAGAAGTTTCCTATCACTTAATGAGCACGGCCAGGTCTAATTCTGACTTTTGCAAAATCTAAACTGATAAACTATTAATTTTTAAAAATGGACTGTTTTTGTATACTCAAGTGCATGGCTAGATTTACCTAAATGACTTCTTTTATTAGTAAACGCAAACATATTTCTAAAAATGCCTACGGAAAACTGAATTTCTAGTACAGGCTAAATACTCTCACCTCATTTCCATCCAGAAAAACTTGATCATCATGTGGCTCAAGTTTGAATTTTTTCTTGGTTTCCTTCTTTTTGGGAGTCCCTGGAGTTTCCTCCTATGAAAACACAATTGTCATAGAAGAAATAACATGCAAGCAAAAAACAATGTGACATTCATATAGGTAAAACATTTTCACTATTTGTAATATAGAAATAAAAATCCCAACTATGGTACTTATAATAACCCTAGCATGGTTCTCTCAGTTGTTGCATAGTATTTTAAATGTTCTCTCAGTTGTTGCATAATATTTTAAATGTGCTCAGATGTCAGTAGTGACCACGGGCACCTAATGATCTTTAATTTTTACTTAATTTTATCTGAACTCACCTTTTTGGATTCTTCCTTTTCACCGTCTTTTTTTTTCTCTTTTTCCTTTTTTGTCCTTTCATCTTTTATATTTTCTTTCTTGCTCTTTTTATCTTCTTCTTTTCCACTTTCAACTTTTCCTTTATCTTTTTCTTTCTTTATGTCTTTATCATACTTCATTTTCATTACTTTTAGTGCCCGGTGAAAAAACTGCTTCTTTAAAAGCCTTTGAAAAAAATGGTACATTATATTTTCCATCAATTATACAGAATAAAATGAGCAAAGGAAGACACAAATTGGCAACTCACAAGAAAATTACAACTAGTAATTCCATGGAAAAATAGTCGAACCCACCACTGATAAGTTTACAGCCAAGTATATAAAAGTGATAGTCAATATAATTTTAACTTTTAACTATATAATTTAGATACACGAGATTAAAAGTTTGGCCTTCCAAAAAATTTCCAAATAACTTGCTGAAAAAGTTTGCATATAAACGGATTTGTGCAGCTTGAGCCCATGTCATCCAAGGGTCAACTGGATAAGGATGAACAGACTGGTGGTGGCTGCCGGGGTTAAGGCCAGGGAGGAGTAGGGGAGAAGCAGTGAAATGGGCGGGACTACAAAGGGTGAACACAGGCAAGGTCTTCGTGGTGATGGGATAGTTTTGTATCTTGACTGAGGTGGTGGTTAGACAAATCTACAGGGAGGATAAGGTGTCTCAGAACTATATAGCCATGTACTGTAAACACACCGATTTCCTGGCTTGGATACTGTACTATAGGCAATAAGATATAATCACTGAAGAAAACTGGGAGAAGGGCAAACAAAACTTCTCTGCACTATTTTTGCAACTTCTTATGATCCTCTAATTATCTCTGGACTATTTTGTTGCAACTTCCTGTGACTCCATTATTGTCTCAAAATAAAAAGTTAAAAAAAACAAAAACAAAAAAAGATTACAGGTTTGAGATTATCCACATAAAGCCTCTTTCTGGGTTCATTAAGTGTAATCAAGACTCAACTTCATTTAATGTTAAGTCTCAAATGCAAGGGTAGACCTAACAAAGGAAGGGGAAAATAAACAACCTAAGAAATGTCAACAGATTAAAAGTGTGTCCATGTTTGATCCAAGTCACGTCTTTCCAATTGTCCTTTTTTTTTTTTGAGGGTCTCGCTCTTTCGCTCAGGCTGGAGTGCAGTGGCATGATCACGGTTCACTGCAACCTCATCCTCTTGGGCTCAGGCAATCCTTTACCTCAGTGTGCCAAGTAGCGAGGAACACAGGCACATGCCACCAGGTCCAGCTAATTTTTGTTATTTTGTGTAGAGAAGGGATCTTGCTATGTTGCCCAGGTTGGTCCAACTCCTGGGTTCAAGCAATCCTCCCACCTCTGTCTCCCAAAGTCCTGGGATTACAGGTGTGAGCCACTGCACCTGGCTTCCAGATGTGTTTCCTGATGTTATTTTTTTCTCCATGTATTTCACTACTCAGTCTGCCTGGATGGGCTTGCACCAGTGCCACTCTCATCCCCGGTGGGCATCCCCTTTGCCCCTGTCTGGCTGGGCTTCCACCTGGTGCCCAGGCCCGCCTTCAAGCCTGTCCACAAGCTCGCTTCTAGGCTTCCTCATCTGGCCCATTCTGTTGTTCAGAGGACCTATTTAGCATATATTTGGTCAAGGTTCAAAAAGCCTGCCAGATGCCACCACTAACATCTGCTTTGCACATGTAAACAAATGTAAGTAAAGAAAAAGCCGAAGTGAGACTAATGATGAACTGCTTATGAGAAGAAAGTGGGATCTAAGAGTAGCAGCAGGGTGTTTGAATATGAAAGAGAAGTTATTTTTTACTCTACTTCAGAATGTCTTGAAATGAATGCATGTTCTAGTTGTTTATGCACTTAGGTGATTTCCAGATTTCCTATTATGATCCTTCATTTCACGAACACTTACTACCACTCAATTTGAAAAAAAATACCTACTGTACATCATGTGAACTGAGCAGCTAGCATCTTGTATTAATATTATAGCTCAAATGACAGATGTCAATATATTAAGAGTATATGTGTACAGTTACTTGAAATACATGTTCTCAAATGGTAATGTGGTTGTCGATGAAGCAATATTCTTATTCTTTTGGATTTTCCTCTAAATCATTTTCTACGTTTTCAGTTTTGTCAAATTTACTTTAGTGGAAAAAACATTTTTAATAAATAGTTTTAAAAGGAAAGCACAAGCCGGGCTCGGTGGCTCAGCCTGTAATCCTGCGCCCTTGGGAGGCTGAGGTGAGTGGATTGCCTGAGCCCGCGGGTTTGAGACCCACCTGAGCAGCGAGACCTCATCTCTACAATAAATCAAAAAATCAGCCGGGTGTGGTAGCGCATGCCTGTAATTCCGGCTACTCGGAAGGCTGAGGCGGAAGGATCGCCGGAGCCCCGCAGGTCGAGGCTGCGGTGGCCGGGAGCGGCCACTGCACTCCAGTCTGGGTGACAGAGTGAGACTCCAACTCAAAAAATTAAAATTTAAAATTTAAAAATTAAAAAAAATAAATAAAAGGAAAGCACAGAATTTTGTAGGAAAAAACCCTTTTCCCTGATGGGAAAACAGGACCAGTTGTTGATTATGAATTTCCAGTCACACTTGTGTTAAACAAAACTTCATGTTTAGGAACAGGTTCAAACATCACCTCTACTACTTAACTTGCTGGGTGATAGTAGGTATGTCACTTAATTTCTGTTTACTTCTGAAGTGGGGTATCTGTGTTATAGGTGTTACTTTTAGGATTTTTTAGCATAGTACCTGGGATACATACACTCAGTAAACGTTAGCTATTATTGCTACAGTAAAACCTTCATTTTCATTTAAGTTATGGGATACAAGTACATTTATTTTCATGAATCACTATATCATAGCATCATTCTATTCTATAATAAGTAGAACTGACTTATTACCTTATTATTTGATGAGCCTTTAGAGAATGTCTACTTCAACTATGCCTAGGAAAGTAAGGCTGATATTATTTAACCTTTCTAATAAAATCAAAGCTTCCATTTATTTGGCTTTAAATACATAATATAGGGCAAATCACTAATACAAAACTGACATTTTCACAAAACTACTCACACTTCCCTACCTCTGTGTGTTCTATTCCTTTTGCTTAGAATGAATATTCTTTCTTCTCGTTTGTTGGGTTACCACCTATGTATGTTTCAAGATTTGATTAAAACGTTTCCCCTGTGAAGTCACTCTTGATAGTTTTGCCATTAATGCCTTTCTTATAGAACAGTTGTAAAAAGTCTTAAAATTGCTTCTGTATTTTTTCCTCGCCCCTTAATTTGTTTTTTCCAGATCTGACAAACATTGCTGAATGCCAGACATGGTTTAGAAACTTCCACCAGTGTGACAATGGTGTGTTTTTAAGTGCCCACATTGTGCTAACTGCTATGAAGTTACAATAAACAAGAACAGTCCTACAGCTGTTTTCAGATTTAGCTGGCCAGAGATTAAAAAAACTAACATATGTGCAACAATGCAACAATTTCTAAATTCCTTACGTTCCAACAAGGGTGATACTAATTTGATACTAAACTGGCAGAACCTGAGATACACAGGCCAATGTGGGCAGGATTCCAGGAAGCCTGTGTGGCAGAGCCAGGACCCAGCCACCGCTTCCAGTACTGAGAGGCAGGTTGGACAGACGAAAAGTAGCAAGCAATGGTCAAAGAAAGACCAGAAGCAAAAACAAGCCTGGCATGTGCACGAGACTCAGGAGGGCATAACCAGGCTCGAGGCCACTGGAATGAAGTCTGATGGCATCAAGGCCCAAGAGTCCACACACAAGACAGGCCACAAAAAGGCACAGATGATGTCAGAAAGGACTGCTCTGCTGTCACCCTATATTCTGCTTCTTCTTTTGTTTTCCCTCAAACTACCTCACACCCACTCAGCTGCTTCAGAAAACGAAACTGGACGACAGTCCTTCTAGGCAGGAACTCCTGAGGACTGGCTGCCGGGACTCCATGGCGGCCTCAAGACGGGGCTCCGAAGACCTGAGCTACAGGAGTGCTTCTCTCCTGGACGTCAAGGCAGAAGGGACACAATCACCTGACACACATGACAAGGACACACTGTCTCTCCAGGACCTTCTCTGTACTAAGGTCTTTCGAGCTTCCCACAGCGCAAAGCTTGCAGGTTCCCAAAAGGCCAGGAGGTGCGGATTCAACACTGGCTGCTCTCCTCAGAGATTTGGCCCACAGATTTAACATCCCAAATAATGGATCAGCAGGTGAACTCAGTTTAACTTTTGCTCCATTAAATGCATCATCACTTGCTAGAGAAGACGGTCTAGGGCAGAAGTCAAGCGCAGACCATGGAGCCAGGTTGCCGGACTGAGAATCCTGGACTAGCTGTGTGACCTTGGACAAGGCACTGAACGTCCCTGTGCCCCAGTTTCAACATTTGTAACATCTCTTACTTTTGGCATCGCATGTAAAAATAAATCTACTTTGTGGCAGGTAGGAAAGTTTGCACCTGGGGGCTAATTCCACCTAGAAGAATGACTGTAAAGAAAAGTAAACGTCAACAGCAGCACTGCTGGCTCGCCCTGCCCCCAAGATGAAACTTACAGTTTCTAGCCTTTGGCAACTAAGAATTAAAACAAAACATTAGTAAACGCTGTGTGTTCCTCCCTACCGAACATGAAACAATGTAAAACCTCAAATTCCCACAGATTATAAGCTTTTGTGCCACAAAAACATTTAGTGACCATCTATTAAGAAATATGCTCAGTACACATGACGTAAACCAAGGAAAAAACATGGAAAGAAGGAGCAGTGTACTTTTTTCCAAGGAGAAAGTGATTTTGTCTTGTAAGGACACCACTCACCACAAGCTTTTTCAGCTTTTCTGAAAAAGAAAAAGCAGTGATGATGGAAAACAAAGATATGCTCAATTACCAGTGCTTCACCTTGAAGTCCTCAAAAAATAAAAAATAAAAAAACCCACCAAAAAACCAAGGTAGATGTTGCAGCTGCTTTGATTTTACAAGTAATACTACATTAGCAAACACTACACAAAGCAGGAAAGGGTACATGATATGGGACAAATCACTAACACAAAACTCTGACATTTAACTACTCACACTTCCCTATCTCTGTGAGTTGCTCTATGTTTTTTGCATAGAATAAGTATTCTTTCTTATTTATGTTAATATATATTTTTTGTTAATATATGTTAATATTCAGTCCACTTCTGGCTCAGGGTACAGAAAAAACCAGAGACAACAGGGCTGATGGGAAGCCCTGCAAAAGCTGTGGAAAGGCAACTCCCCAACCCGCAAAAAAAGAACTTGTTTGTTCCCTGTCGGCACTGGAGTATGATGATTTTTATTGCTGACCTTCCAGCAGGCCTGGCAAATATACAAAAGTAATGGAACATAAATAAGAATCATACACTGTTAAAAATGTAACAGTCTAACACCAAACACATTTCCAGAGGTACTGAAGAAACACAGGTTACATGTGAAAACTACAAGTCACGCTGTAATATCACCATATTTAATGACATAAGGAGTTTAAGGACTGCGGGGCAAATTTCAAATTAGTATTTATGTATTTATGTTATCCTTCAAAGAACTATACACTACCTGTTGCAGTAGTCAACCACAGACTCTCTGGTTGTAAATAAAGCTTCTTCTCCTTTCTTGGCCTTTGCCCACTTCGAGTCCAAAAGGCAATCCACTGCTTTTGAAGCTAAAGAAGAAATTCACTATTTTAAATGCGGTATACATGGGAACTGATGTCTATCTAAATAATGTTTCATAAAGAAAATCTCAACATTCTGACAACAGAAGAGAAAACTAGGCTCCACAGAAAATCATGTCCAACTTGAGTATAAAAAAGTTCCTCGAAACCTTAACTTGTGAAAGATAATGTCAAGTATCCTTTTAAAGTAATGCTGGGAAATGAACAGCGTTCAGAAACACTAATTAAAGATACATTCATGTGGAAACGTTAAAAAGGCAACATCTCTGTATGTAAATGTCACTCTTATTGATGAAGCACATCAAACACAGAACAAGCCAAACACCTTCCTCTCCTCCCACCGCCCAATGAAAATTCTCATCGCATTTTGCTGTAACTCACTGAGGAGTAAGCTCTGCGACCAACCTATTGCTGTCACTAGAAGCAGCTAAATATATTAGATCTGAAGAGATTAGCAGGCCTGTGTTTTCTAAACTTTTAATGAATGTCAAAATCATTAATAACACTAAACAGAAGAGAAAATCCACTTTTCTCTATTGGCAATTCAATTTTAGTTGATGAGACAGACAGACTCAACCACTACTGATAAGGTATGAGGCCATATTATAGATGACATCAGTTTATAATGAAGTTTTCTGGATACTATGAAAAACCAAAGCGTCCAATTAGTTCCAAGTACATATGCTGTCCGAACAAAAGGCAGTATTTAAACAATGAAAATAAATCCTATTTTAAAAATTTCCAAAAATGCGGGGAGGGGAGAAGGGAAAAAAAATTTCCAATGCATATTATTAGAAAGCACTTTCTTTCATCTTTTTATACAGACATTTTCAGTCATAAAAGGGAAGAACAGGATAATCGGCTGCCACGTGTCCATCACCAGGCTTAACAAAAAACACTTGGAAAGCACTTTCAGAAACTTCATAAATTCCGGCAACTTCGTAAGATAGGGACACTAATCACTACTATGGTTTTACTGGCACCATCCTACCAATAAAATAATCAACCCGGTGACCCATCATATTGGTGGACTTTGTTGGACAGTTGAATCGAAGATACTTGGCTACAGCCTTCTCTTCTTTAGATGGTTCACCGACTTCCTGCAACACAAGAATATTAATTTAGTATCACCATTTACTTGAGAAATTCATGCACTGACGAGTCATTTTCAAATCTGTTTTGTGAATCTTTTCAAGTAGAGCAAAGGCCTTGTTTCAAGTTGTCTCTGGAGCACACCTGGTAATGTATAAAGGCAAATAGAGCTTTTAAAAGTACAGGTTTTTCAAATACAAGCTGCCAGAGGCAAAGCCTAGCTGCTTCTTGGACACAACTGTAAGAAACTGAAGTTGTTTTTCCAGTATGGCAACTACTTTGTGCCAGTTCACCTTCACTTTTGTATGTCTCTTTTTATAAGTCACAAAACAATATTTAGGAAAAATTACGAGGTTGCCAACAGTGAGTGCCCAAATGTCAAAATAAGTAGAAACAGGTGCCATAAGTAAATGTTAAAATAACAGTCAAGGCCAGGCTCGGTGGCTCAGCCTGTGATCCCAGCACTTCGGAAGGCCGAGGCGAGTGGACTGCCTGAGCCCGCAGGTTCAGGACCAGCCTGGGCAACTTTATTAACCTCATCTCTACAATAAATAAAAAATTAGCTGGGCATGATAGCGTGTGCCTGTAGTTCCAGCTACCTGGAAGGCTGAGGCAGAAGGGTCGCCAGAGCCCAGCAGGTCAATGCTGGGGTGGCTGGAGTGTGCCACTGCACTCCAGCCTGGGCGACAGTGAGACTGCAGCTCAAAACAGAAAAACAACGTCTTCACAAAGTTGTGTAACCTGACTGAGGGACAACAGGAGTCCCCACACTGACCGACGGCCCACTGCCCAACATGGTGACCATCAGCTCTGCCGAGAGGCAGACAAGCTGTGCCCCACTCCCCTCCTGGCTGCAGAGGCCAGACGCTGCCCGGGACCCTTTCTCACCTTGTCTCTCCTCTTCCCCAGTAAGGGTGAGGCAAAAACACCAAAGGCAAGAGCAGGGCTCTTCCTACCTCCCTTGAAGACGTGATTAAAGAAGCGCCCTGACAGAGCAGCTCTGGAAAGGCTGCTTGGCCCTGCCCGTTTCTTCTTCCACGCCTTCTCCACATTCTCTTCTACTGCCTTCTTCACTGCTTATCATTCCTCATATTCCGTGTCCCCTTCCCTTCTGAGCTCCTTTAACCTGACAATCCCTCCTTGCTCTCCCCGTCCACGTGCTGAAGAAGATGAAGCCAGTCCCTATTGCTGTACGTCTCACGTACACGCTTGCAAGAGCTGCCCATTGGCGTAAGTGATGGAAACAAACGCATCATATTTAATGACTGCCTTTAACCACCTCTAAGCACGATACACATAGAACACTCAATATCTCCAACAATATCTAATCTAGATGTGAATGATCTCAGGAAGGTCTGTTTCCTTAAAGAATACAATGTCAAAGACTAGCAAAAAATTGTCTGCCATGCATCTAAGATGCTGAGAAGAATCAATGCTACCTACAGTTGTTTCAAGCAAGAAATTCCAGCAATGTGAAACAGAAAAAAATAATCTACCTAAGTTATGTGTCCTTATGTCAGGTTTCCCCACATTTCAGATAAGTCTCAATTCAGTTATGTCTGAGGAAAACAAGGAACAACCAACAAACCAAGGGTCAACTGTAATTTTATCCTGGAAAGGAGCAACTTGTTGGATGGAGTGAGAGTCTGGCAGCGCCGGCTGTCTCCTCCTCTGCATTTCCCAACTCCGCGACTTCCAGCCACCTGTTAACAGCCCATGAGTTGTCTACTCTGCTGCGTCTACTCTGCTACTACCAGCAGCGGGTTATTTGTGGCTATAAAAATTAAGAGCCCGAGTACTCAAATCAAAAGAAGACTATTTGTAAAAACCAAGTAGAGGACTTAAGTATCACAAAAAACAGAATCTTAAAAAACTGCAGAAACAATATTTAACAATCCAAGTTCACGAACAAGGTTCATGATTTAATTTGAGGCTTGGCTGCAAAATAAAGTTTCTGACATAATAAAAGGTAAAAACTTTGAAACCATGTTAAAATATATTAATATATGTTGGTACCATGTATGCTAAATGATAGTACTTGATTATGTTAGTATGATACATACACCTTCGAGGAGCCTAATCTATTAGTAAATAGCATTCTAGATATTCACATACCCAAAAAAGTGACACAATGAATAGCTAAAAATAATATTATAAACAGTTCATAGAAACCAATTCTATTTTATAATCACACCCACATATGCTCAATTTTTTCCTTACTTGATACATCTGTTGTCAATTTACAGTTTATCTAATTAACTGGTAACTTATTACTGGGATGTGCTTGATTAAAAATTGTGGGGGGTGGGTCTAAATAAATGTAAACCATTAGGGCAACCCCCTTGGGAGCTTTTCTTCTATCTTCTCAATAAATCTTGGTTAAAAAAAAAAAAAAAAAAAGGAAACCGTTCAATCAAATATGTATTTACAGAGTGCTTACCATATAACCCGCAAATGCTAGAGTTAATATCAAAGATCTGTAAGGCATGATACTTACACTTTGATACATAACTACCAAAAGCAGCAATTGCTCTTTTCCAAAAGGAGCGGTTAAAAACATATTTTAGAAATACTCAAAGTAGAAGTGAGATTATCAATAGGAATAGCTAGGAAAGACCTCTCAAAGATGGGGCTAGATTTTGAAAGATGAACAAGTTTTGGGTAACTGAGTGCAGAGCATAAACACTGTGGCTGAGACTGAAACAAACTGGCTTCAGGAAAGACAAGTTAAAGTTAGGAAGTCATAGGAAGGTAAGCATGTGTGTGCAGAAAAATTCTGATTTTACTCTGTTCCTTGTAGTGTTTAAATAGAAAGACATAATTAGAAAAATGATTTAGTCATTATTTTGATGGCCATGTGCAGGATGAATTGAAAAAAACTGCCTGTAATCCCAGAACTTTGGGAGGCCGAGGTGAGAGGACTGCCTGAGCTCAGGAGTTCGAGACCAGCCTGGGGAACTTGGTGAGACCTTGTCTCTATAATAAGTCACGAAAAATTAGCTGGGCAGGGTGGCAGGTGCCTGTAGTTCCAGTTACTTGGAGGGCTGAGGTGGAGGGATCGCCTGAGTCCAGCAGGTCGAGGCTGCGCTGACTGTGAGCATGCCACTGCACTCCAATCTGGGCGACAGAGTGAGACAGAGACTCAAAAAGAAAAAAGAAATGCACAAGTCAGGGAAACTTGTTAGAAAACTATTACAGTATTCAAGTAATTTCTGGTGTGACTCTAGACTAGGAATGGGGAGGAAATTTAGATATCTGAAAAACGTAGAACAGACAGATCTCAATAATAAAGGATGAATTAAATGGTTAGGTAAGAGTGTCAGTTTTCTAACATTATCAACAGAAAGGACAGTTTTTCAAAAACAGAAAGGAAATTTGGGAGAAGGCGATTCTAGAAAACAATCAATTTTAGGCATGATTCATAAACACTCACATACTAATACTCGATTATTCCATGTACTGAACACAGAAATAAATGTACTACTCTTCTGACTGCTGATAGAGGCATCTCAAATAAAACGTGATTAAAACTTAGGACACATAAAAAACTGACAAGTGGACTATATATCATGCAATAGGGAATCTAACACTATAATGCATGCGCAAAATTATTAAACCTTCTTTTAACAATTAACTTCAAGTTCACCAAACTTTTCCACAACTGCATCCCCTCCTTGGTAAAGGTAATACTAAGTGACAGTCAACAGAAGAGATCAGCAAACATGGACTTGGATAATCTCTCCAACAAGACACAGAATTACTTGTATGTTGATACTTGTAAACTTATTAACACATAACAAGTTATCCAAACTGTAGACTGCCTTTAATGAAAGTAATATAATTTGTGCCATCTGCTGGGGCTTTGAAGCTGGAAAGGTTGATTGCTGTAGAAGAGGACCATGAGATCGGGAGCAACTGGTCACCAAGTGGCCGGGATCACAGATGCCAGCCCGCCGCTACACAGGCCACTGCTCCTCACCTCCTTCTGGTCTATTCACTGGACAACTGTACCCTCCCTCTTCGTTCCTCTTTGATGTGAACAGATTATTTTCATGTCTCTTCTAGGAGACATCTAACAAAAAGCGAAGGCCTTTGGAAACAGTCGCACCCACTAATCGAGAGAAGCCAGCCCACCCATCCTCAAACAAAAGGAGAGAGCGTTTTAGCTCAATGAATGAGCCCAAGTATCTCAGCAAGAGGAAGCTAGGAGCCAGTACATCTAGACTGGCCCGCCTGCCTCTCTCAGCACCCAAACACCACATGCTGGCTGCTGCAACTCAAATCCCAAACTACTTAAAACCATGTAAACCGAAAGCCTGGTTAGAACACACTTATAAAATTGTCTAGCAAATATTATTTTTACTGTAGAATATGTTAACACCCTAATACTATAATGGTCTAGTATTTTATAACTATTATTTTAGCTAATATTTAAACTTTTGGAGAAAAAATATTAGATCAGAAGTAAGTATGCCACAGGCTTCAATCTTACAGAATTTCTAATATAGAAGGATTTTTAAAAATTACTATCTCCACTAAAAATAAGCTTAATTGATCTATGAATAGTGAGTTGAGCAAAGAAGAAAAAGGCTTAGTTCATAAACTGTGAATTTGTATGTTTATACAAGCAGCATAAAATACTTGTGAAAATGCAAATAGTGGATTAACGGAATAAAATGTGACAGCTGCGGACAACTTGTATGTTCAAAGCCATGTAGCGTGCTACCACAAAGCTTTACAAGAGTCCGTGTCCTGGCTCTGCAGAGCCCCTCTGGAAGGCCTCCAGCCCACTGCAGCAATGGGCTTGCCAGGTCACTGTGAAGCCCTCCAGAAGGCTTCTGGGGGGAGTTCTCAGACATAGCATTGGCATCCTGAGCTCAGTTCTCTTTTCTTGAGAACCTTCTGAGAGTCTGACTCCATGCAGTCTGGCTATACAGTCCCAGACTCTCTCTTCTTCCCTTACCTCAAATTAAGCACACAAACCCATTTTACTGTCAGGGAGACAGATGGGTGTAACAAAAATAATGGAGTGAGGCTGTGAAAGTTCTAAGAACTAGCCAGTTATTTAAACATCTCAAACTCAATGGGACAGTTCACATACAAGCAAAATACTAAGTGGGATGATTCTCTTTATCAGGGAAAAGTCACATTAAGTCTATGTCACACAATTTAAAATTAAGAATTCAGGACTGAAAAGTATTTCAGGGCAACTTATTTTTATCAAGGATGAGGTGGAAAGACTATTCAATTGGGAATTAGGAAAACTGGTCTAAATCTGGTTTTACTATCCTGATTAGTGGTTTGGGTCAAATCACAAACCCTCACTAGCAGTCCTGGGTCAAATCACAAATCCTCAGCAAAACGAGGACTTGGATGAGATCAGCATGCTTTGGGCCCACCACTCTGCTGTTAGGTAAGACAGAACTTGTGAAAAGGGTTCAAA